ATGGCAAGTATTCTGAGGAAAGAATAGAGGACAAACAGCTTACCTGTACTAAGCACCCCTCGTTTCCGTACACTTAAATTCAACCCGTGCACCCTATACGATAAATGAAAGACGAGGACCATTGGAAAATTGTCCAAATGGTGCCGCATTCGTGACCTCAAGGTAAAAACCTGCTTTGAGGAAAAGTGAATGAATTCATGGAATGGATTTTCCTAATGTACTCCTCAGCATTCATAGTTTCTGTCGTGCAGGAGTTCAAATCTAACAGTCAATTTCGTTCTTTCATGATGCTGCTTTCCCGCTTATATTTCGAGAACAAACTCTTTAAGAATGCAAACCTCTATGGCTTAGAATTATAAAGAATAGTCGTGTAGAGTAGTTACTTTTCGTCTTTTTTCACATGCTCGTTTTTTAATGCTCTGCAGGACTCGATACACACACTCAACGTTTCTACTTTTCACTATAGATTACGGAACAGACTATAAGGGACATCAAAATACAACAGGTAATATAACTGAATGGCATATTTGATGCCAGCTGAATGCAGAGCATGTTAGCAAAATTTTAATTTAAAAAAGTTTTGAAAAACAGATTTAAATCGGGTCAAATTTCGAGCTAGTCCTAGAGCCGGATTTTGTTTGTTTTCTGCGTGTTTTTCAAAGACTGATACAAATGCAGCTTGAACGACTATGGACAAATGAAATGGCTAAAGAGGCGTTTGCTCTTTCTTTCCGTTCATGAAATTCTATCGTTAGTCTACTTCTCAATGACACGGCATGAAAATTGTCCTCATACCATCATAGAAGAGGGAAGCGGAAACAGGAAGTGCTTTATGACTAATTTTCATGAAGTCTCCTTGGGTTTGTTGATGCAGCTGATCTGCCCCTGCCGCGTGGTTAGTCATAGAAACTGCTACCTCAATCCTTCGACCCTCCCGGGTCAAACCGCAAGGTAGACTGGCGTTTTGACCTAATTATTGACAGCATCTTACAAAGGATAGGAGATACTGCTTGACTTTATTCATCAGCAAAGAACCAGGGTTAGTAATAATGAACCACGTTCAATAAGCTACAGTATAACACGAAATTGGTCGGTGTCTGACCGAAGCATCCTCTAGCTTTTTCATGTAATCAAGATGCTGTGAAGTTGACATCACGAATGACAGACTACCATGTTCGCCGGTAAATATTACAGCTAAGTTACTGTCAGGAGTTATATGACAAAACGCCTTTCCTCTGCTTGTAATTACGTATGGGGGGTCACTTCGACCGAACAAGGCTCCATCGTATTTCAACGCCTGGTGTGCATAGGATGAAAGACTGGGTAGAACAAGGTAGCAAAAGTTCTGTACTAGTAATGGAAATGCAACATTCAATAGAAAAGTTGCAGGGCTGCCAGTTCTGGTGGTCCGGAATCGATTGGTTATATTTTATCTTATTTTATCTGTGTATTTTCTTACAAACAATCACAAATTTCTTGTGTGCTCGAACACGCCCTTGTTCAACCCAATTCAGGAATGCGGTCCCGAGTCAAATGCATTGCAGGTACTCAAACACTACCGAGACGTCTACTTTTTTAATGTCCTCTAGGAGTCTAGAGACAAACGGATTGCGTTTTCTCCGTGCATGTCTGATATTTATATTTGATATGAATTTTTGATTGCTATGCCATCCCTGTTACCCTATGAAATATATGCATATGTTGTATATATTATTGTTTTTGGTTGCTACATGCCTGCATAGTTTTCAGCCAAAGTTGCAGACTAAAATATTTTCAATGCCTCCATGACACGAGTCATGAAAGGACTCAGCTGTAGACAAGGCTTGGATAGCAAAATCAATGTTCGGCTCTTACATTAGGCATGATTCACCACTTTCTAGACGCCGTCTGATTTAGGTCACAAAAAATTATATATAGGTTACTGTTAATCCTGTATAAACTATGGAAAGTTATGGCGACATAGTTGTCACTTTTGCCCTCCCCTCCTCCTGACTCTCAATCTATCAGTCAATTAGTGTTACTATTACAACAATCGCTATTTAAACCGTATGCCAGTCATAACCAAGATTTTATTCCTTTATACAGCACCGTTTGAAAAATTCAAGGTACTGCTGATATGACTAGACCTTGAAATTGGCGATATATCAACAGCGTCAATAAAAATTCCACGTGGTCCTGGTGTCGCTAGTCTAGTACGCCGTGTGCAAACCCCTTTTTGTTTCTATTTCGTCACGTATAAGAAAATGGCCTTTTCACCGTTGCATAAACCATGACGAACCTGAATGCAGAACAGGGAAGCCTTCGAGTCAAACGCTGACTCTCGACCTCATAATGATCAAGCATAAGTGAGTCACAGCCTCAAGTGTTGTTGCGATGCTACCTCTAAATTCCAGTTTCCATTGTATCCATATTGTGGCGGGAATACCCAGTTCATGGTGGCATCAACAAGTCCAGTCACGGATTAAATGATGTCGTCAAGCGCTGTGGTACTTCAGCACTCGTCGAAAACAGACAATAATGTCACTTGGTTCTTCGCCTTGCTACATAAGGCAAGATCACATTCGTCACTCGTATCGCTGGTATATGGGAGCGATCCAACGCTCACTGCTTCCAGAAGAATAAGTACATCTAAAAGAAATATATAAAGAATGCCCTAAAATCGTTTTGTTGGAGAACACAGTGGCAATATGAGTCACAGGCATGAGGTCAGCCAGATGTGTATTCGCACTTTAACCATGACCGTTGTTTTGAATTCATCGATTTCTGTCTTGGTTTAAGGAAGAGGCAGAGAAGAAACGAATCAGGAAACCCTGTGCTGAAATGTGAGTTTAGGCTCCCTCATATCTTGAGTAGTTGTCTCAGAGAGATTAATGAGACCCCTTCCCTGGTGAGGGATAAGCTGTGACTTGAGACAATTCCATATGTGTGGTGCCGCGCAGTACAAACGGAGACACCTACACCCTGTTGACTGGTTATCCCTCCTCGCTAAACCCCGTTCCATTCCGTCTGCTGGCTATTCTGTATGTCGATCACTAGTATGCAAAATATTGAATTAAGCAATAGGGGAATAATTCTAGTTATAAAGTTTTCTAAGGAATCGCAATGGAAAAGGTGATTATTGCAATGATGATTAAGATAATTGCAGAAGACTCCAAGTTTAAACTGAATCCTGAGTCAGACAGAATTGGAGCGAGTTTTCAACTGCTTTGCTGCAGACTGAACACGCTTCTTCTGAACCACCAGTCTCTGATGGAAGATCATGACTATTTGCGACTTTGTTTGACGCTGCTGTCCTCATTCTCCAAAAAGACGCGAGGCATCTGGAACCGAGTAACTGAATGACTGATTATGATGAGGATTCGATCAATACTCAACCTTTTTCGATCCACTGCCACATGAATGCCTCTCCATGAATTTTTGACTTTCTTCAGTTTTCTGCAATTTTTATCAGTCTTGATCTAAAGAACTTCTTCAGCACGTTCTGCCATTTCGATGTCTTCTTTTGGACGGTTCACTCTTTCTTGGAACTTCTCTGATCCAGATATGGTCGATTCTTCTAGAAACGTGTCCTAACATTGCCATCTTAACTTATCCACTCGGCAAATGACATCTCATTTGCTTTCATCCATTCATTTGCGTTTCCATCCGTTGTTATTATTTCCAACGTGCATTATTACAGCTGCTTGCGTAGTGTACAGTTTATAAATGATTTTCAGGCTTAGGGTTTCCGCTCCTTACCAACAGGTTAGCAATCGAAAACTCTACGTTTTAAGCACCAGTGCAGCTTCAAATATAGGAGCAGTTTCAGTCGTCCATGGGTGCACCCTGCCATTTTTTTCTTATGTAAATTTTACACGGATGGGTTTCTATTGCAGAGATGAACTGTACAAAATACATATGTTTGGCACCTCTTCGAGGCTAAGTTCGAAGAATTAAGCAGGTGCATGGATCACATATTTTATAAACGCGACCTGAGACTTGAGGTTCGTTTTCAGTCCTGTTTTGAAGTTGGTGTCGTTTGGCTTTCAGCGTTTTTTGGACTTGTTCTGGTGACGTTGAGAAGATCAAAATATCATCCACAAACAGCAGGT